AGTAAAGATCGGAGCGATGCTCTTTAAGCAAGTGCCTGATGCGGTCACAGTGGGCCGTCACCCTTGCCAAAGCCGAGGCCAAACATCGACCTGGATAATAGGCAAATTGGGGAAACTCTCGGAGAGCCTGAACTACACTCGGCCTGAGAAGCGATGCAAGGTGTTTCGAGACGATCTTGCCCCCCGTGTCCTGTAGGGCAATGGGACGTAACTCGTCTGGGCTGCGACCTTGTTTGCCAACCTTGTTGAGCCATACAAGCCAGGAGTCACACCAAAGAGGAGGAGCACTCGGTCTAAGTTGCCAGGCCTTATCTGCAAGTTGGACCAGAACAGGCGCCAGTGCCTGCCGGCACAGTTTCCACACAGCAGGTGGCAAGGTGTGAGCCGGAACCGCCTTGTAGATGGAAAGCTTGCGCATATGTTGTTCAAGTGCATCTGCTTCCAACTTAAAAGGCTGCCCAAGGAGACTGGATGTGGCAACGCATCGCCCTTGTGAGAAGAGGCCCCGACAATACTCAGTGAAGACACGCAGCTCCTCGGCATTCGAGAGAATTCGGCCATCTTCGCCGCGCAGCTGAACTTTTGCTCTTCGCTGCTTAGGTGCAAGCCGTCGCATAACCTCGAAGAGCCCTTTCTGATCACCTCTCTGATAGGCATTTTCCGCCTGCCGAAGTTCATCACGCAGGTATTGTTTGCGAAGTGCACGGCTAGCGTGCTTGGCCTCCCTCGCCTCCCGCTGATAGATCACAAGAAGACGCCAGTACCTGAGAACATGGCCAGAAAGACGGTGCAGGCCAGGTGGAGGACCCACGCCAAGGGCTCGACGCAGCTGCCAGAGACGAGGATACCGAGCCTGAAGTGCATGATGCTGCCACGGCCGAGCCCGTGCCTGTCCCAAAGCCTTAGGAAAGTGCCGTGCCAAGATGGGCAGCACATGTTCATTGAGGGCCTGCGGTGTGTCAATCCGAGCACCAACCAACGAACGACTCACCTCCTCACTGAAAGCCACAGCCTCTGCCGAACCAGCCCCGACCGCTTCACGAAGATGGACAAGGTCAAAAGAAGTTTGCACCTGTGCAGCCGCAGAGCGATCTGGCATAAAACGCCGGGCAGGAACACAAACTGAAAGCGGCAAGTGTCGCCCCCCACCGCGCCATTCAAAGAGCCCCGCATCTGGAAGTGGACATGCCCGCCTAGAGATGGGATGTGCATCAAGTCGCCGTGAGATCAAAAAATCAATCTGACTCTTGCCCTTGGAATGCACATAAGTCGCCGACCTTGAGCGGGCCGACCACGAGTTTAAAATGCACAGATCAAGAGCCTCGAGAAGGCCCA